TTCCAGTCATGCAAAGTGGCAAAACTATAGTACTTAAAGCTATAAAGGCCTCTGCTTTCAAAACTTACCTTAGTATTTGATTTCTCTTGCTGCCAGGTTTATCTAGTGTGAATAAATCAGCATTCTGTGACCATAATCCTCAACCTGTAAAAATTAAATACATAACTAGTTATCTTTCTTAAGGAAATTCTTCAAAACTTGCCTATAACTTACTGCCCCCTTTGCCAGAAAGAAAAGGCAAGTTCAGACTTGCAGCTTAACGTATTTCATGTTCTACTACTTCTCTTAATTGGTGGAAGAGTCACTGGCTTGGGATGGACTGGAATGTCTTAAATGGTTAAGTTGCATGGCTTATGGATTCTCATTCTGTTCCAATGGTGCACTGCCATGTTAAATCCATAAGTTGAACGGACAAAACTTATTTGAAGGATAAGTGCAGTACAAGGATTTTTAGTTGGAGGTCTTCAAGTTTACTATATTCAAGAGCATCTTTTTCAACTCCATGGCTGGACCTGGGTCATGTTGCCTCAGGTTTTGCTTTTTAAAGACCACTTGCAATAGATTTTCTCCATACAGTGTAGTTTCACAGAACTAAAAACAAGTCAGGCATCCAACTAAATGTCAAGTTTACAATGGCTTACAGGGGTAGAAAGAGGAGGACCCCAAAGTCAAGCCATTTCCTATATTGACTAAAAGTCTAATTTGAAAAATGTTAAAATATATGAAGCATGTTTAAAGGTCTTCATCAAAAATACTTAGAGTTACCCCCCTCCCAAGCCCCAGGTGGCTATTGGTAAACAGTTGCATTAAGGCCTTTAAGTGTCATACATGCTTTTTTAAAAAAGAAATCCAAGAGTTGAATTTGGAAGACTTCTAATGTGCTACAGAACACTTTGCTTTTCCAAAAGTTTTTTTTTTAATCTAGAAAGCATTTCCACTGCCATGAGGTACAGTATGTTTCACTGTACTATGAGGAAGTGTTCAATTTCGACTTAGACGGAAAAACTAGTTTGCTTTGCTTACCATCTTTGCTGTTTCACAGGCATTTGATGCTTTAAATCTGATGTGGAATGCTGATAGATTCACTTTTTAGAAGTCATAAGCCTTTGAGAAGTTGGAGATAACTTCATTGCTTATCTATTTTCTCCTTTGCAATCAAGCTGTTCCTTAAAAGTGAGACACTACAGAGTTGCAAAAATTTGAAACAGTAAGAGCAAGCACCGTTTGCAGCTTCATGGTTGGTTTTGGCCAAACTTTTTATTTAGTATTCTGTAGTTGCTTAACACACACTTAAATGGTCTTATTGGGGGAGGGGGAAAGGGGAGGTGAGGTTCTTGTAGATTCCCAAGGAAATGTCAGAAAGGCAAAATATGGCCAGCACTATCCATTTGTTTTGGGTTTACTGGGTGAATAGCACTTTCTTTACATAAGCATCTGATCTCAGGTTTTTCATACTGAGAACATTTGAGATTTTAGTTTGATGACAGTATGATATCCTAAGAGTAGCATACCCCGACCACCCTCTAATAGCTAGCTTGTTTGTATAGGCTGAGGGATTCATCTTTCCATTTTAGATGGCTAGATGTTTGTAGAAAATCTTAGAATTGCTTGCCTCATTTACTGGGAAAAAATTAGAAAGTGGCCCTTTAGGGACACTTTTACTTGGAAAATTACAACACTAGTACACAAGTCAAGCCTTAACACATTTAACATTTGCTTGTAAGAAAGCAATGCCTTAAGATTAAACATGTTTTACTTTTCTCCTCACAAGAACATAAAAATTATGAAGGGGAACTTAACAGGAAATTTAAAAAAGGTAACACAATTTTTTTTCTTTTAGTAGTCCTTGGGTAGTTATGACAGAATAGGTTCCACTTTTTGTTTGTTTCTTTGAACAGGGATTTTGGTCCAAAGTTTTGTTTTTAATATCTGCTTCTGCCTCCCCCTCTATCAGATCGGCTTCCTCCACGGCCACCACCCCTTGGTGCTCCGCGGCTTGAACTGCTGTAGGAATCACGTGGAGGAGGGTACCCCCTTTCCATAGAAGGGGGAAGCCCTCTTTCTTGTCTGCCAACCCGATCACGACCACTTGAGTAGAGATCACTTCGGCTGCTTGAGTAACTGTCTCGACTTCCACCATATCCGTCACGTGAGCTGCTGTAATCATCATAGCGACTGCTTCCACCATAAGATGGCGGGGGCCCTCGTGTAGGTGGAGCACTACGTGAGTTACCTGCAGGGTCAATGGTCAGGTAATATGGCAACACTATAAATTGTATATATACAACATTTAAATCTGAATTTACAGAATTTCTGTATTAAACGTTTACTTTCTCAACTGGGAGGTTTTAAACTCTGCCATTGCTGGCCATTAACAGGGATTTGCTCATTTGCTGAGATATGGAAATGGATGGGTTTTAATGTTTGTTTGAAAAGACTGAAGACGGTGTGTATTTCAAGAGGATATTCCAGACAGCTTGTTATTTTATAGTAGACACTCAGCCACTTTCCAGTGATAAGTTGCAATTTTGAACTGTAGACTTTCCTTCATATTGGAATGGTAAACATTTGATGTTGTTAATAAAATTTTTAAATTGTACTTTCACTGTTGGGGGAAAACACATAAGGCTGCCAATTTAAGCAAGCAAAATCCCCTCCAAAGCAAGCAAACAGCCTCAAAAAAAATTAGAAAAAACAAAAGCCCCTCACAAAACTAGGAAAAGCCCAGCTTATAGTTATCCCCTTAAAAGCAAGCAAACATCCCTTTAAAAGCAAGCACCACACAGCCTAGTAAACTGGCTCATGAACCTAAAAACTCAAGCTGGTGATATTCAAAGACACTAAACCAGTATCTTACCATAACTGTCATATGAATCCCTGTAGGAACCACCACTTGGATGATCTGAATAGTCACGATCACGACCATAGCCATCTCTATCACTAAATTAAAGAGAAAAACCTGTAAGCCCCAGAATATCAAATTTCACAGCAAAACCACAAGGGCAAGTTATTTACCTATACCCTCTTGATGGATAGTCATCGCGTGAACTGGAATGACCATAATCACGATAAGTATAATCTCGTGGTGGTGGTGCATAATCTCTTGTATCACGAGAACTTGGGTAATCTCTGCTTGAATAGCTACAAAAATAAAAATAACTTGGTTTATGCTTTTAGTGAGCTCCTCCTCCCTTCAACGCTAATTGTTAATGAGACAAAGCTACTACATTTTTCTGTTACCTGTCTTTAGTAGAATATCCATCATCTCTTGGGGACAAATAAACATCTCTACGAGAAGGCAGAGGTTCCCTTCGAGGCGGGCCTCCATAACTATCTCTTCCACGTGATACAGGAGCTTAAGGAAAAACAATCATCATTAAAATATACCCAAAGAAAAATTAAAACATGAATGTACACCCAAGGCAATGAAAACTAGTGATTGACATATGACAGAAGTAAATCAAGATATTTTGTTCTCTAAGCCTTTTGCGTTATGGTGACAGGACATATTGTTAATGGAACATTTACCTCTTCCTCCCATTCCACTGCTGCTGCGAACTGGTCCTGAAGGAGCAGATCTCTTAGGAGGAGGACCCCCACTTCTTGGGGGTGGTCCTCTTTTTACTGGAAGTGGTCCCCTGGAAGAACTCATGTTGAAATTCATGGAATAGCCACCATCATCTACAACAGAAAAATGTGTCATTACTTTTAAGTAAAAAGATCTTTGCTAGATCATATTTGCTTAGTTGAGAAATCTTGCTTTAATTTTCATTTTTACAGGATTAAGAATGAAGTCTACACAGACTAGTAAAATAAAACTAAAGGGTAGCCTTAATTTTAATATGCCAAACATCTATGAAATTTTAATGTGTCCAAACTCCTATGCCTATGAAAATGTTTCTGCAAATGCTTTTTTTCCAATAGAGTAAAACTACCTGGATAAATAGTATATTTTCCATCATTTAAAAAACACCATTGCTTTCAGGTCATTATCACTTTAGTAGATGAGCATGTGTTCTCAACTGCCAAAGCTGGCCCATCTCACTAAGACTTAACCAAAGCACACATGGTGTAGGTTTGCAGTTCCTAAGTTATATACCAAGTCTGAGATAGGCCCAAGTCATTACCCATGTGTCCTCCACGTGAGGGAGGTCCCCTGGTTCCTCCACTTCCTCCTCTTCCACCTCTAAGGCCTCTTGGAGGGCCTCTGCTTCTTGGAGGTGGAGGTGGTCCACGCCTACCACTTTCAAATGATGGTTTAGTGGCTTGTTCTACCTTGATGGCTTTTCCATCTAAGGACTAAATGATATCAAAGTGGTTAATTACATCAATGTTTAGAAAGAACTGGCAAATCCACTGTGCACCATAACACTGATGCCGTCCAAAATGTAATTACAGATAAATTGTACTAATTAGTCTAAGAAAAACAAAATAAAGTACTCCTTTTTCACCTACTTAAAATGCCTACTAGTCTTTAAGCATGCTACTGATGGTTTGAAGCAAATATGGTAGATCCACTGCATTACTAGTAGGTAATATTTTAAACAAGGCCAGCTATCAACTTATCAAAACTAATAACCCAAAATAAAAGCCAAGTTACTAAATCAGTTTACAAATCCCAAATAAAGTAAACACAATATTCTCAACTCCTTACAGTGAAATCTGTAAATCTGATTATAAAATTACAAAGGGCTAAGATCACAGGCTCCTGGAAAAGTACACTCAAAAACAAAATTCAAGAGCTGCCCTAGGCTAGACTTGGTTAATGCTGTGCTATTTTATGCACTAGGAAACACTATCAGTGTGCAATCTCACCTTTCCATTCATGTCTCTGGCTGCATCCTTAGCATCTGCTGGGCTTTCAAAGGTGACAAAAGCAAATCCTCTTGATTTGTTGGTCTCACGATCTTTCATCAAAAGTACTAAAAAAGTTATTTTCAGGGGTAAAAAAGTGTTATTCTAATAAGAATGAATTGAGAAAAATGAATCTCTAAAAAACAAAGCTCAGAACTTCTTAGAGGACAAAATTATCATTTCAGATGATCATTGCAATTAAATTCATCATAGCTTCTCTCTTTAATTACAAAATAGCCCAGCAAATACTTTCAGATAAACTCACCTTCCACTATTCGTCCATATTTGCCAAATACTGCTTCAAGGGCTTTCTCATTTGTTTCTGTATTGAGGCCACCAATGAAGAGCTTTCCTGGGCGATCAGCTTCAACCATTTTACCCCCTGATGAGCGTCTACTGAAAAAGAGTATAGTATTATCTTACCGAGAAAAGTTCCTTAGGTTTATCGGACACATGTTTTTACTGGGGTCTATTTTTCTTTTACTGAAACCACTACTCCTTAATAACTAAAGACACCAAAAGCAGTATTTCCTAAGCATCAGCAGGAAACCCAAATTAATTAGTTAAGCCGTAATAGTTTCCATTACACTGGTTACAGGACCAACTTAATTTTTGCCTTTACCCTTAATCTACCTTGCAGTTTTAGTCAAGTATTGGCTACTCAGTATTTTAAAAAGTTTTCGTTTTAATCCCAGATTTCCAGTCTTTTAAAGATACAATTATATCCTAATTACCCTAAAGACTGACTCACTCAAGGTCACAGACCAGATGCAGGTCCTTAACACCAAGCCCTGTTCCAAGAACTTTGTATTTTCTCATTAGGAGTCCACAGTAAATTTATTTAGAAATTTAAAGTTTGAGGCAAGTTCTGTCCTTCCTTTTAATCCAGCCCTTGGCCGGCCAAAAAGGTCACAATAACTTTGCCAAAAATTATTTCATATTAAATAACGGAACGTGAAAACCATGTGTTGCTTAACATCCCATGACTGCAGCAGAACCCAATTAAAAACCATCTTTAAAAACCGCGTGAAACCCTGGCTGGTGTGGCTCAGTGGACTGAGTGCCGGCCTGCGAACCAGAATCGCCGGTTGCAATTCCCAGTCAGGGAACATGCCTGGGTTGCAGACCAGGTCCCCAGTTGCAGGTATGCGAGAAGCAACCACACACTGATGCTTCTCTCCCTCTAAAAATAAGTTTAAAAAAATTGAAAAAATATTGAAAAAACTGAAAAAGAAAAAAAAAAACGTGGAAAACACAAAATGGCGACACTTGGACTCAGCCCAGAACAACCGACATGGGTCAGAGGAGTAACTTTTGCCGGTAGCAATGGCTGCTAAAACTCAAAGGGATTCCTCTCCAAGGCATAAATGAACAACGACCCCGTGTACAAGTGCACGTGCCCATCCACAGTGCCGGCGCCATCCCAATGCAGGAAACGCGGTGGCGCGTTCTGTCCTCGTCCAGGCTGCATCCCTGACCTCCGCTACTATCCCCGCAGGCGACAGCCAAACTTTATCGAGTGATGTAACCAAAAAGACCAAAACATTTGTATCCTTCCGACACGCTCAATTGTAACTAAATAGGTCGGCACCTTTGGGCTCTTAAAATGGCGCCCGCCAGCCCCATCTCCTGGGAGATAATCCGAAATTCTAAAATGGCAAGATTGGCCGGAAAAATGCTAATGAAAAGATACACTTACCGGAGGGGTGACGACGGTTTCAAGCTCCCACGAGCTCCCCAGCAGGGGTTTCCTAGCTGCTCAGCACAAGGGAGGGCCAATGGCTCCCAATACGGAAGAGAGAACCAGCTGGAACTACTGCGCAACGAGGGCGAACAAAGGAGACAGCAAACTTTATACTGCCCGGGAACGAGGCTGAAGGACCCGGATGAAAACGGAGCTTAGAATTTGAAACGCAAGAAGTGTGGGGGGAGGGTGGGGAAGAGTTCCCAGTCTCTCCATTGGCTATCTTCTCTATCATTCACTCTTATCTCCACCCTCTTTTCCGGACTCGCAGTTTTTTGGCCCGCGCAGGTTTTAACCGTCTTCCCAGCCCCCACCCATACTCCCCCAAACCCGCGTTTTTGCTTTCCGCTGAAATGGTTCGCGGTCGCAGTTAATAAAGAACTGAAATTATTGCGTGTTCTAGTGAGCCAGGCACAGTGCTAAACTTAAACACCCCATACCTCACTTAATTCTCAAAACTAGCGTGATTTGGATACTCCTATGCCAATTTTGCAGAAATGGAAAACAAAGAAATTTAGATAATAAAATATATTTTACCAAAAGATCTTTAACAAGAATTTTCAGTGAATGGGTAAAATTCTGATAAATATCACATGGGAAGAAAACAACATAAAAATGGCAGCAGGTAAACTGAACACCTAAATGGCAGGCTCTAGGCTAGGCCATGAGAATATAACCCAGAACAAGTGAGACAAGGGCAAGACACCTCATGGTAAAGCTGCCAGATCTAACAAATAAAAATACAGGACACCAAGTTACTTTAAAGTTCAGATAATTTTTTCAGTGTAGGTATGCCCCACTATCATGTACAAAGAAACCTTATTGTTTATCTGAACTTCAAATTTAACTGGGCATTCTGTATTTTATCTGCCTATCCTACTGGAGGAGAGATTACAGAAATTAAAGATTTTTTAATTTCTTAAAAAACTAAAAGAAACAAATCCAATTAAATAAAACAACTGCATGTTGTGATTAGTGCTGGGGAGGGAAGTTAACTAGGTGCTTTGATGGACAACATTTGGGGCACCAAATTTGATTTAGACATCAGGAAGGTCTACCTGAAGAGGTGACTTTGGAGATCAGATCTGAAGGGCAAAAAGGAACCAGTTATGGGAAAGCTGAAGGGAGACCTTTTCAGGAAGAGAGGACTAAGCACAAAGTAAGGTTAAGTGTCTCCACCTATTGAGGGGCAGAAAGAGATCCAGAGTGACAGGAATTTAAGTGTCATAAAGTGAGGGAGTCAAGGTAAACAGAATGTCTTCGAATCCATTAAAAGATTGCAGGGCTTAAGTGTGGAAGCAGGGACACACAGCAGTGTCTGCTAAAATTCAAAGGGATTCCTCTCCAAGGTATAAATGAACAATGACCCCATGTACCAGTGCACATGCCCATCCATAGTGCTGGGGCCATCCCAATGCAGGCACCACACTGGCGAGTGCCATACTGCAAATAGATCAGGAGAGAGGATGGTGACTTGAATTAGGGTTGTGGCAGTGGACATAGGGAGAAAAGAACAATTGCTGGGTGTACATGGCAGGTAGTATGGACAGAATTTACTAATGAATCAGACAGGAAAGGAGGGAGGGTTGGGATTGAGGAAATGGGAAGTCATTAGTAGGTGATGGCCCTTTACCAAAATGGTTGAAGAGAAGAGAGTTTGGGATGCAGGGGGTGAGAAATCTGATGCTCAGAGATCAGGGCTAAATTTTCGCTTTCAAAGTGGTAATAAATGCCCTGACCAGTGTGGCTCAGTTGGTTGGGCATCGTCCCTCAAAGCAAAAGGTCAGTAGTTTACTCCTGGTCAGGGGACATGCCTTAAATTGTAGGTTAGGTCCCCAGACAGGCCACATTTGGGAGGCAGTAGGTCCCCAGTAGGGAGTGCACAAGAGGCAACCACACACTGATGTTTCTCTCCCACTCTTCCTCCCTCCCTGCCCCTCTCTCTAAAAATAAGTAAATAAAATCTTTTTAAAAATTAAAACATTCATATTTTATTTATTTACTTTTAGGGAGAGGGGAAGAGAGGGAGAGAAACATCTATGTGAGAGAGAAATGGCTATCGGTTCCTTCTCACATGCTTCCAACTGCGGACATGGCCCACAACCGAAGCATGTGCCCTGATCTGGAATCAAACCCATAACCTTTTGCTTTGTCAGATAATGCCCAGCGCACTGAGACACAATGGTCAGGTCCAGATTTCATCTTAAAGAGATGATGGAGGCTGTAGTCCAGAGACTGTATTGGGGGAAAGAGAGGCAAGAAGCAGGGTATAGCTGATACAATCCAGGAGACAGAAGATATGGCTGAGCTGAGAATGAGGGACTTTGGCCAACTTGCAGTCCACTAAACAGGTGTCACACTGCCCAAAACTAATTGCTGAATCCCATCCTCTTTCCTACAAATGGTCTAGATCAAGGGTGTCAAATTCATTTTCACCAGGGGCCACATCAGCCTCGCAGTTGCCTTCAAAGGGCTGAATGTAATTTTAGGACTGTATCAATGCAACTACTCCTTAACTGGGAACAAGGAGCTCCGCGCTGCTGCCAGATAGAAATAAGGTGCAGGCTGGATAAAACAAATGGAGGGCCGGATTTGGGCCATAGGCCTTGTGTTTGCCACCTGTGGTCTACATTTTTCCCTTTATTTCTTTCTCTTCTTTCTTTGAATTATCATTAAATATAGTTACCTTTTTTCTGTCTCTCTTTCTTTTATTTTATATTACATTTTCTCTTTTAAAAATATATATTTTATTGATTATACTATTATAGTTGTCCCATTTCCCCCCCTTTACTCTCCTCCGCCCTGCACACCCTCTCCCATCCTCATCCCCTACCCCTTTAGTTCATGTCCATGGGTTGTACAGGTAAGTTCTTTGGATTCTACATTTCCCATACTATTCTGGCCCTCCCCCTGTCTATTTTCTACCTACCATTTATGCTACTTATTCTCTGTACCTTTTCTCCCTCTCTCCCCCTCCACTCCCCCACTGATAACCCTCCATGTGATCTCCATTTCTGTGATTCTGTTCCTGTTCTAGTTGTGTTTTTTTGTTTGTTTGTTTGTTTTGGGTTTGGTTGTTAATAACTGTGAGTTTATTGCAATTTTACTGTTCATATTTTTTATTTTTTTCTTACATAAGTCCCTTTAATATTTCATATAATAAGGATTTGGCAATGATGAACTCCTTTAACTTGACCTTATCTGGGAAGCACTTTATCTGCTCTTCTGTTATAAATAACTTTGCTGAATAGAGTAATCTTGGATGTAGGTCCTTGCCTTTCATGACTTTGAATACTTCCTTCCAGCCACTTCTTGCCTGCAAGATTTCTCTTGAAAAATCAGCTGATAGTCTTATGGGAACTTCTTTGTAGGTAACTGCCTCCTTTTCTCTTGCTGCTTTGAAAATTCTTTCCTTATCTTTAATCTTGGGTAATGTAATTATGATGTGCCTTGGTGTGTTCCTCCTTGGG